CAGACCCAGCCACTGCTGACCGCTGGCCTCCGGTCCTGCATTGCATTTCTCCTTCGTACACGGACCGCTGCTGCCCGGCTCCGGCATCCCGGGTACCGATCTGCTCCAGTCCCACAAACCACAACAGCTTCTTGCACTTCCAACCAGCTGCACCCCAAGGAAAACTCAACCTCCATCCTAAAGGTGGACAGAAGTGGGCAACATACAGCACACGTTACCTTCCCAGGGCTAAATTAAAAGTTGTACATTAATAAAGCCCATTTTAATCACAGTTTCAAGAGTTTGTCTCAGTTGCCTCCAAAGGCAAAGGTGTCCCCTTTGTTCCCGAAGGGGTCACCCAGACGCCATCGCCCATCCGCCCTCAGCGATGGGTTGCACTCCTCATGCACCAGCGCCTACCGCACGCCCCAGCCTCACACCCAAAGCCCAAACCAATATCGCTCCACTAATTTAAATGACGATTCCACGACACTTTACATAAGAAGTATTCATAAGGAAAGGAAAAAAGACGACAAAAGGTCCGATACCATCTTCAAAAGGAGGTTCCACCCTTCCTGAGATATTACGCAGACCCTTATACACCTGCCAGCTTGCTTTGGGTGGCAGAGCGGAGACCCGAGGACTCACTCGCAGTCCCACCGCTTTGCCTCGCGACCCTTGGGCAGCGCTGGCCGATTGGCACCATCCTGCCTCTGCAAAGCAGCACGGCAGGGCCAGACGCAGCTGCAGAAAACCCCTCTGTATCCACCCGCACCTGAAATTCCCAAAGGGTTGAAGTCCGCTGGCGAAACTTCCAAGTTAGAAAAGGCCTCTCCGTCTAAACACAACCATACCGGAGAGCAAAACCCACTTCTGCCAGGCGAGCGAACCCAGGTCAGTAAGCAAAATAAGGAATATCTGCTACAGCATTTTTTTGCTGGTCCCTCCTGGTATAGCCATGAACCAGAAATAAAAACGGTCACCAAAGAAAATCTTCACCAGCTTAGCTTTGCTGACAAAGCTGGCAAGTGCGAGTCTTGCTCATGGTTCTGAAATCAGGACAAAAAGCGGTTTAAATAGCTAGACCCACTGCTGTTTCTGGATTCAGGTTTTCACACCGCAGTGGTAAATTTAGACCACCTATGGATGGTTACGCAAAGAGAGCCTGAGATACGGAGCACAAGATGTAGGTCACTTTTTAAATCCGGCTACAGCCTGCCTGAGTACCAGCAGCAAAGCGCTCGCCGGTCTCGGTGGGCTTCAGATCAGACCCAGTGCCATGAACTCTTCCAGGAATCAAGTGTTTTGAGTCAAAAAGGATCTGTTTGAGAAGACTTCAGGAGATGTACTCTCCCAAATATATACTTAACAGAATATATATAACGCTATAGCACTCTGACGGTGAGTCAAAGCATAAACCCATCGTGACTCAGAGACCGGCAGCCCAACAGCCCCCAGTAAAATCTGGAGCACTCTGCCTCTAAACATCAGGCTGCACCTCCCCAGCACCAAATCCTGGCAGAACGACGGCCGTGCAGTAGCTGTTCTGGGCACACGGCACAAAAATAAATGCTTGTTCTTTTTGTGGAAAGCCTGTGGTATGACTAGGACATATGAAGCAAAATAAGCATGTATTTTTTATCAAATGGCAAAGTTCCTCTTTGTGCTATTAGGGAATTTTTGAAAATAAATATCCTGTAAGTAAATAGCCCTTATTTTCTATTAAAAAATGCTTGCTTTGTCTCTCTTTCTCTCACTGGTATTTTAGACTTCTGTATAGAGAATCCTAGGGATACAGCGAATTTTCATGCTATCACCACCATACAGCTGTTCAAGGGAAAGTGCCTAAGAGAAAAAGGACACTGTAAAGCAAAAGCAGACCTAGAAACCACACAAGCAGAGTCACATAGCAACTAGGAAGTTTCAAATAAAGGGAAAACTTTGAAATGGAACAATTTGAAGGAAAACATTATGCGAAGTCCTTCACAGAAGCAAAGCCAACGAAGAGAAAAAAACTGCCACACCAAAACAAGGTATGGAAAAGTAAAGATGGAGAGGGCGAAAAGTAATTTTAAAGCTGTGGGAATGTCAAGAGACGTTTTTGGGGTAAAAATCAAATACTCAAAGAAGCAAGTTTCCACCTGCTTTTAGCAACATCCCGCTGGAAAGAACACAAACCTCATCCAGAGGGTTGAGATGCCTGGAGAAAAGGAGACTGAAGAGCAGCCCTGCTCCTTCAGGTCTTAATGCGGGTGAACGGAGCTCCTTCAGTGCCCCTTCCCCTCCAGAAGGCTCCTGCTTTGGGAGGCAGGCAAGCAAAGCGGACAGCAAACTCGCTCAAGACGAATACCACCTCTGCAGTCACCTCCGCTTTGGGGACAGCGGATCTCGGAGGCCTAAAGATCTTACGGCTCAATGGGTTGATGTTTCCTGAAGGAAGAATGATTACTGAAGAGGCACCAATTTTTACATGCATCGCCAAAATTTGGGAGCCAGGTATACAGGGCCTGCGGTGCTGTACGGCAGGGACTTTGTAGTCCGTTGGCCTCTGTTTTTCCTTCTTGGGTTCTGCCCTAACTTCACACGTGGCATGGCGTGGAGATTAAAACTTTGCTGGGGGCCCCGGTTTATTAGTACCAAACTGCAAAGAAAAGAAAAAACCCCTTTCAGTCAGGTTTTCCAGAAAGCCCACAGACTGTAATGTAAAATGTTTGAATCCCACCGAGAGTGTCCCTCCTGAGCCTGCCCCCTCCGCCTTTGTCCCCCGGGTGCCTCGGCTCTTCTGGCTGTCCCCGCGCCCCCGACTCTTTAGGTTTGGGTTGTGCGACCCTCACACCCCTGCCCTTTTTGCATTTGTTGTCCTTCACGAGCAGACGCTTGCTCTTGATTCCTGTTCTCCTTTAGCCCTTCCCCTCCCCGGACCACCTTTAAAGGCTCTCTTAAACTGGAGAAGCCATTAAGGGCAAATAGCCAAAAAAATGCCTAGGGAAAAGCATAAGAGAAGCGAGAAAACTT